ATGAGAAGGTCAGGATATTTCATTTACGTCAGATTTGCTTGGATATGAACAATAACTTTCTTTGTGTGTTTTTAATCTAAATGCACATTTGCTAAAGGGCAAGATGGCAACAGGCATCCTTGTAAAGAAGGAACAAGAAGTTACTGTATTGTTGAAAAAAATTAATATCTTATTATTAATCCTATTTATATATCTTATAAACACATTTCTATCTTATCCTTATTCAAATTAACATTACATTTCTTATATAATAACATAATGACTTCTATCAATTCATTATTTAAACATGCAGATCATTTAAAAAGCTGTTTATTTATTTATTAATTGATATATTTATAGATGTTTGCATGTTTTCAACAAGAAAAAACAATAACTGAAATAAAGTTTACATATCCATGGTTTTTCATTTTGTGTCAAGCTGTCAGAACTTTGTTTGCAGAGGAGAATAAATCTTAGCTCATCAGATACAAGGAGTGTGACGATCTTAAATCTGTCCCTACATTTAAACTCATTCGTGAAACACATTCATAATGCAAAAGCAATGTACATAGTTTAACTAAAAATACATGCATGTTTTCAACAAGAAAAAACAATAACTGAAATAAAGTTTACATATCCATGGTTTTTCATTTTGTGTCAAGCTGTCAGAACTTTGTTTGCAGAGGAGAATAAATCTTAGCTCATCAGATACAAGGAGTGTGACGATCTTAAATCTGTCCCTACATTTAAACTCATTCATGAAACACATTCATAATGCAAAATCAATGTACATAGTTTAACTAAAAATACAACAATCAGATCTGTGGAGCTGAGCTGAAGAACTTTTTCAGACTCGCTCTGGAGTTCCATCCTCTCTCCTTCGCAAACATGAACACACTCCCAAACAGATCAGGGAATGAAGCCATCAGGCTGATGCTCTCCGCGTCCTCTTGACTATGTAGAGAAAAAAAAGACATGATCTGACACACAATAATACTAAATTATTCTGGTATAAATACAGTGTATGGCAGGGGTGCCCAACCCTGCTCTTGGCGATCGACTGTCCTGCAAAGTTTAGCTCCACCTCTAATCAAACACACCTGCCTTTAATTTTTAAGTGATCCTGAAGACCTTAATTAGTTGCTTCAGGTGTGCTTGATTAGGGTTAGAGCTGAACTTTGCAGGACAGTCGATTGGGCACCCCTGATCTAGATAGAATGCAATTTCCCTTTCATTTAATAGGGGAAGTTCATTTAAAATCATAATTTGCTAGGATCATAAGCAGTGCTGAAACTCTGGCTTGTACCAAAATTACAGATCATGAGTTTAATAAGGTCATGAGCTTAGTTAGTTTAGAGCAGGGGTCGGCAAACTATGGCAAGTTAACACTGGCACGCTAATGCCGAGTTCACACTGCACGATTTTAGCACGACTTTTCACTCGCCGACAGGTTTTGCGAAATCGCCGACAAATGCCGAAATCGGAGGCAAATCGGTGCTCGTTTACGCGAGTGACAATTACGCAAGTTTGCGGACCAGACAGAGCTGTTGGCGATTCTTCCTATTGTGAAGTCATGCAATGTGAAACCCCCTGTCGCCGATCCATCGTGCAATGTGAACACAGCAGCAACTGAATGCTAACCCAGATAATCACGCAGTGTGAAAACAACGGCGATCCGACGAGTTTGAAAATCGTGCAGTGTGAACTCGGTATAAGGGATAATCACAGGCAGTGGCACGCGAGCGATAGGGAAAACTATGTAGCATCGTACATTTCATTCCTCATAGTCACAACCTGTTAGCAGCTGTAAATACTATTAAAGTGTGAGGATTAAACTGCGCTAGACTACAGATGCGTGTGGCAACAAGGTGTCCATCTCGGGTTACTTGACTGTAACCCTGTTCCCTGAAAAAGCGGGAACGAGAACTTTCTTTGTTCGACCGGTTGTAAAGCTTATGTGTCAAACACACCAAGAATTGGCTTAAATAACCTCGGTAGGTGACGTCATTGATTACACACCTGCGAGTTTATACATACATGTGAAACGGACACATCCTGTTCACCTTTGTCTGAAAGGACATCCGGGCACGCCTACAGTGCGGCATTGAGGCGCAGCATCTCGTTCCCGCTTTTTCAGGGAACAGGGTTACAGTCAAGTAACCTGTAACGTTCCCTATCAAAAGCTACTCTCGATGCTGCATTTCAAATGCTTGTGGGAACGAGAATACCAACGCCGCCGTACTGGAAGTGTCTGGACCCCCCAAGGTTGTGTAGTGTTTGCTCACAAGCACTGAAGAGGTCTCAGACATGACTCTGGGATGTTGACTCAAGAACACGTGAGCCCGGAGTAGCATGGACATTCAAACTATAGAATCTGACAAATGTGTGCGGAGAGGACCAGCCTGCCGCTTCACACACTTGCTGCAAGGGGACACCTCTTGCTAAAGCCGTAGAAGATGCAACCCCCCTGGTTGAATGGGCCCTAACTCTTAGAGGCGAAGCTTGACCACGCGCCTCGTAGGCTAGGACAATAGCATCCCTCACCCAATGTGACCTAGTTTGTTTAGTGGCAGCTGCCCCCAGTTGTGGCCCCCATAGCATGTGAAAAGTTCTCCGACTTGCGCCACTGGCTGGTGCGGTGGACGTAAATCTGAAGAGCACGTACTGGACACAGTAAGTGAAGTCTTTCCTGCTCCGGTGTCGTGAACGGCAGAGGGCAGAAGGCTTCAAGAACGACTGGATGTATGGTCGAGAATGGAACTTTCTGAAGATAATTAGGGTGAGGATGCAAAATAGCTTTGACCAGCCCAGGGATAAAGTCTAGGCAGGCTGGCGAGACTGACAGAGCCTGCAAATCCCCAATTCTCTTCAGAGAAGTAATAGCCATTAGAAAAACCATCGTTAGGGTCAGAAACCTGACAGGTGCTGACTCTAGTGGTTCGAAAGGGGTGTCAACCAGACCCTCGTGCACTATAGCCAAGTCCCACGAAGGGACTGTCGCTCTAGTGGGCGGCCTCAACCGCTTGGCTCCACGAATGAAGCGGGTGACTAAAGGGTGCTTTCCCACAGAAACCCCATCAATCAGAGCATGTCAAGCCGAAATGGCAGCCACATAGATTCTAAGAGTACCAGGACATGTGCCTGAGGACAGTTTCTCTTGCAAAAAAACTCCAGCACTGGAAAAATTTGGCAGTGAACTGGGTCTGCATGGTGTGTCATACAATACCTTTCGAAAATACGCCATCTGAGGGCATACATTCTTCTAGTGGAGGGAGCCCTAGCACTTATAATAGTCTCTACTACATCGGTTGGAAGCCCAGCATCTCTTAGTTGGTTCCCCTCAGTGGCCAGACATGAAGGTTCCAGAGCTCGGGCCGGGGATGAAATACTGTCCCCTGCGCCTGAGACAGAAGATCTCTGTACTTAAGTATTTTACTAGAACTAAATGTGGGCTCCAAGACGCACTAGTCCTCAACACCTAAAAGAAATGCCAGTGAAATAAAAGAAACAGTTGATTTGTGAGGAGAGCAATCACATGTTTATTTTCTAAAATCAAAACTAAAACTGAATTAGGCCTACCTCAATATTGTAATAAATCAAGGCTGACCCAACAGCCTCTTAAACGACTACAAACGCTGAAATCTCAGTTAAGCTCAAGTCTTTAAAAAGGGCATAAGTAAACCAATATCCTTCTAAAAGTTATCATCCATATCCTCATCTAATCTGAGTCAAAATTAGATTTTCAAAACTTGATTTTCAAAAGTCAACAAATTTGCAACAGCTGAATGTAGTAACCTTTTGTCTGTCAAATAAATGCACAATACACAGTAGTATTTGCTAGAAGCAGAGGTTCAGGAAGTACATGAATTTCCTGGAAAACCCACACTACCAGATGTTTTGAATACATCAACGCTTTCCCTGAAGGAAAAAATGGCTGGAAATGCTACAAAAATCATGAGATCCTGATAAACTGACTGCTGTAATTCAGAGCGTTCATTACTGTGAGTGGAAAATTATTTGACTAAAGATTTGAAGAAGACATCACTTCTTTGAAATAGAAATGCTCTTTTGTAATATCATGACTTTCACAGCAATTCCAAACTTTTCAAAGTTTGATTCCAAAAAAAATTTAAATAAATAAATAAAATAAAATAGAATGTTTGTACTTTCAGGGGTTCCTGAGCCAGCAGAGCAACTACCATTGAAATTCTCTCACACCCAACCATTCTGTGTAGATTGTTTCCTGTGAGTTGCTCTGAATTTTACCTCTGTTTTGGACAAAATGTTACCCAGTGATTATTACCCCAAAAAGGTATATTGTCAGTTTCTATATTTTAAAACCATTCTCATTACCCAGAGTGCAGTAACACGCATGACTATTGGCCTTCTTGTTTTCAGAATTACAGGTCACTGTCATACGTTCCCAAGCTGTTTTTTTTTGTTTTTTTTTGAAATTCTAGTTTCTTTGTTTCCTGTGCTGGCTTTTGTAGTCCTTTGTAGTTTTATTTACAACATCAAATCAGAAAAAAGTTAGGATGTTTTGTAAAATAAAATCAAGAATCTGAGATTAGTTAATTCCCTTTAACCTTTATTTAATTGACAGAAGTACAAAGATTTCCAATGTTTTCACTGACCAAATTAATTGTATTTTGTAAATATATATATATATTATAAAATTATTTTGATGGCAGCAACACACTCCAAAAAAGTTGGGACAGAGGCATGTTTAACACTCTGTCACATCAACTTTAATTTTAATTACAACGTTTAATCGTTTGGGATTAATCGTTTGGGAACCCAGCAGCACTATGTCCAAAAAAACAACAACCAGCAAATGGGTTAATGTATAAAACCCAACAAGCTGCGTTAAAATAACCCAGCATGTGTTCTGTCCAATATTTACCCAGCACTTAGTTGCCAAAGCCAGAAATGGCTGTTTTTAACCCAGCATTTTTAGAGTGTAGAATCTGTAAGATGTTTATAATTTTTATGAAGTGTGATAATCTTTGTTGTTGTTGTTGTTGTTGTTTTTATTTAGTACTGCCACGAGGAAGCTCTGTAACATCTACATATTTTCCACAAGATAAATCAATATCTGAAATTAAACAAATTAGCCAGTTTAAAAATGTAAGACATATACTCGTGGTATATTTTGGTATATTTTGCCACAAGTGTCAGTGTTTTTCAGCTATCAGGGCCTCATTTCATGAAAACAATGAATCTCAGCTCATCAAATCTTACATTTATCCCTACATTTAAACTCATTCATGATGTAGAATCAATGTACATACTGAAACCAAAAATACAACAATCAGATCTGTGGAGCTGAGCTGAAGAACTTTTTCAGACTCGCTCTGGAGTTCCATCCTCTCTCCTTCGCAAACATGAACACACTCCCAAACAGATCAGGGAATGAAGCCATCAGGCTGATGCTCTCAGCGTCCTCTGGACTATGTAGAGAAAAAAAGACCAAAAACATGGTCTGACACACAATAATACTAAATTATTCTGGTTTAAATACTGTGTATGGTATTACATGTCACTCACTAATGCTCGTGCAGGTTGCGTATAAATCGCAGCAGACCCAGTGTGTTCTCAGGATAGCCTTTCTTCTTACCTTCCAGTTTCTGGACAATCTCAGATGGAAACTGACAAAAGAAATATAATTACAAATACAATTTATTTTCCAGACCAAGATTATAGCAGGCCATGCACTACATTTACCTGATTTTACATTCAACTGAGGAAAGTCTTGAAGACATTAAATCTAATTTTTGAAGTTGTTACTATTTTCATTATTTTATTATTTAAACATTTCTTAAATATATTTACATATTTATGTAAGTATGTTTGAATATTTGAGCATTGAAGTTAGACTCACTTTAGTCCTCCATTCAGAAAAGCTTTTCCCCTCTGTGTATTTTTCAGCGGCCTGAAGGAGCTCCTCATCAACATTACGATAATTGTTAACCTCTTTCTGGTTCCCCAATTTTTTCAAATACTCCACTCTCCTGACAGGATTTCAGAAACAGTTCAATCTCGTCAGCTAATAAAAAAGTATATGCAAAGCAGTTTTCCCTTCATTTAATATAAAACCATAAGTTGCTAGTGTTGTAAGCAGTGCTGAACCTCTCTAGCTTGTACCAAAATAACAGATCATGAGTTTAATAAGGTCATGAGGTGATTGTTAATTTTAGAGTGATAAATGTCATTGCCAACTCAATGGAGTATTTTACCTGTCATCAGTCCAGAAGAAGGGGTGTGCGAGGGTTTGCTCCACAGTTGGTCTGTTGTTTGGATCTTCATTGATCATCCACTCGACGAGATCCTTCGCTACATCATCATCCAGATGCTCCAGTGAGTATCTTCCTTGTAAAATGTTGACTTCACAAAATGGTTGTTCACCAAATGGATGGTGTCCTCCAGAGAGAATGTAGTAGACTAACATCCCGGCAACCTTCAAACAGTGTTACTAGTTTAGAATTTTCGTCTACTAAAATTTAAATTAATTGTATTTAAGTCAATAAGTAAATTTCTCATTCTATATTTTTGTAATATTTTAAATTAATTTAAAATAATTACAATATTGTTGACTCAAAATGAGAGGAGAGACCACCTGAATGTCGGAGCTCCTCTTGTAGCCAGTGCTGACTTTCTCATGTATGTTTTCCTTTGCCTTCCAGCATCTAGTTCCAGCGATGCTTGTTCGTAAAGTGGTTTCGCCCTGTTTCAGTCGGCGACTTATGCCAAAATCAGCCAATCTGGCTTGTCCTTTTATGTCTGTAACAAACAGAAAGTTCACATTATTTATAGAAAGAAAAAAAAAATTCTATAAAATTTAATCACAAGTTTAGCTCCTACCAATCAGGACATTCTGGGGTTTGATATCTCGATGGAGCACTTTGGTTTGCTGGTCGTGTAAAACCTGTAAGCTGCAGAGAACTTCCTTCACCAGCTTCTTCAGAACCAAAGATCTCTCAGCGCTGTCATCTGGTAAATGATCTTGAATATATTCTTCCAGTGTGTACTCACAAAGCTGAAGAACAAGGTACCCAAAATGTGCATCCTCTGCAAAGTCCACATATCGCACGATGAAGGGATTATCAAGTTCTGGGAGTCGTAGAAATTCCTCCTCGTTTCTGAGGACTTGGTAATTAGACTTAATCATTCGTTTCACAGCCACCTCAGTGCCGTCATCCCTCAAACCAAGGAAAACTTCTGTTCCATCACTTCCCTTAGCAATACGAAATTCATCAGTGCGTACTAGAGTAAGGTTTCTCAGCATGGTATTGCTATCATCAATGTTAGCTAGCTTCTCAAGCTTAGACCTCCAACGATGACTGGTTTGATGCCACCTTCTTGAGATATTTGGGGTCTCAACTTGTTGTGTGCACGGCTGCACACTGGAATTTGATTCCTCAATGGATGTCACTACAGAGTCTGGATACGATTCCTCTTTATCTTGAAGCTCAACTTCTTGTGATTCCAACTCTTGCTGGATTTTTTTCTTCTTTTTCTTCTTCTTGCTGCTTGTTGATAGAGCGGCTGTCTCCTCACATAAACTATCCACTGCACTCGAACCTGCTGGATGTCTCAGTGATTCATCCAACTTTTGGAGCTTTTTTTTCATGACTTCATCCATTTCAATCTCTGCGGTGTTAAGTATCATCTCTGGGACGGGTGACAATCCACACAATGCTACAAGTTTAGGAACAATGTCATATATATAGGCAAACAGTCCATAGGTCCAAACTCCAATCAGACTTGAATAATCAGGACGTGTGAGAGGCAACAGACTTTTGCACAACTTCTCATAGACAGAATGATTCATACTTCGTTTCTGCTCAGATGTCTTTTGCATCATGACGTTGAGTATTTTGAGTATTAAACTAATGACTGTTTCACCATTTGTGTTTCCAGAGTGCTTAAGGCTGTTTGTTAGAATTGACACAAGATCACTGAACACCTGAGGAGAAATGCTTTCACTGACACACAAAGCAACATTTAAGCAGTTCAGTGCAATCTGCCAGTGTTTCTGAGGGATTCTTGGGAAGCGTTTGATGACTCCTTCAATGTATCTCTCTGCACTCTTAGTGTCTTTTAACCATTTGATGGCGCTCTGATGATACTGCACCGCACCTGGACCAATGAAACCGAAATACACCTCAAACAAAATAATATGATTGAACGGATCCTCTTGAAAGAAATGTTCCTCATAGACTCTGTAAACTTCTGTCTGATTTTTTGTTTGTAAAGAACAAGAAAGAGAGAAAAACAGATGTACTTTCTCAAACACTTTATCCTGTGATGATAGTCGACGAATCATTCTCTCCACTTTTTTATCTAGCTCTTTTTTCACCCCATAGTTAGTTTCAGGTGAAGCTCCAGCCTCTATAAGTGCTTTCACAATGTCTTCACGGCCACGATCAACAGCACATTGCAGTGGAGTCCAAATTATTAATCCATGTCTATCTGGATCAGCTTTTGCTGCAAGTAATCTTTTCACAATACTCAGTGGAACTCCAGTTGTTAAAGCAGCGTAATGTAGAGGAGTTCGTCCACTTGTTGAGGGTTTGTTTGGATCAGCTGACTCTCCAAGTAGATAAGAGCAGATTTCTTCATTTCTGCATAAAACTGCTGCAGATAATGGAGTAACATCATCTTTCCAGTCTTCAGAAGGGTACAGTCCATTAATATCTTTTGCTCTTAATAAACAGCGAAGTCTCTCTACCTTGTTTTCTGTGATGCATTTTATTAGGGGGTCTGTTTTTGTAGGCCCTTCTAAAAATACTGGAAGCCAGTTTGCCATGGATCTTCAAATGTTCATTACAGTCTGTGGAGAGATGTTAAACACTATTGCCATTAAGGACATTTAATACATTTTATTCATTAATGCTTCTTCAACTCTAAACACAAACACAAAACACAAAAATGTTGACAAAAAACAAATGTTGTGATTAATAGATTTGATATATTTCTGTCAACCTTTCAGTTAAAATCTATTTCCATATAATCAACCCTATTCCTATTATAGTGTTCATCTGTTTAATCAAAAACTATGGAGATTGAAATTTTAGGTTACAAAATAATGTATAACTGGTTGTGAAAATGAAATTATGTCGGTTTCATTTGAAAAGGAGCTTGCCACATCATTCAGTATTATAGGAATACCATTTTTGTTTACCCAGGTTTAGAGGTTTAAGTGAATTAAACTGACATTTTTAAATTACATTAAAAAAAGTTATGCCTTTAAAGTCTGATTTATGATTGACACATGAGCCATCTGACTTCTTAATTCACTTTAGTAAGTTATGCTGGTCATCACTGTGTCCAATTTTCAAGAGGCAAGTGATCAGATCCATGTTCTGTATGTTGCATAAACAAAAGGCAAGTCAACTTGTGTCTCATGAATTGACACAGACAATTCCACAGGGCTGAACAAACAAATAAAAACAAATCCAGTATGATTAAACACAAGAAACTATACTCCAGTAGGCTATAGCCATGACCAATAAAAATAATAATACTTATGCACAATAGTTTCTTTTTTGTGTGTAATGGCATTACAAAAACTCCCCACGGTCTTCAGATTTGGGTGGAAATAGGCTTGTTCGAGATGCATTGGCACTGCGCAGACGACTCTTTAAGCTTTTGAACAGTGTTGCCTGTTTTCTTATCATCAGCGCTTGTTCCGCCATCAGTCAGCGCGCACACAGGGTTGCCAGATTGCACAGAATAAGTAAAACACCTGGCAGAAAGTGTATCCTTAAAGGGGTCCTATTATGCTTTATCACTTTTACCACTTTAGTTAGTCTGTAATGTTGCTGTTTGAGCATAAAAAATATCTGCAAAGTTACAAAGCTCAAAAGTCCAATTCAAAAGGAGATATTTTATTTAACAGTTATCACTTTTCAGAAACTACAACGAATGACTCGTTTGGACTACAACGCATATTATCCGGGATTTGTGATATCGCCCAGCTAACCAATCACAACTCACACTGGCCCAGCTAACCAATCACAACTCACACTGGCCCAGCTAACCAATCACAACACACACTGGCCCAGCTAACCAATCACAACTCACACTGGCCCAGCTAACCAATCACAACTCACACTGGCCCAGCTAACCAATCACAACACACACTGGCCCAGCTAACCAATCACAACACACACTGGCCCAGCTAACCAATCACAACACACACTGGCCCAGCTAACCAATCACAACACACACTGGCCCAGCTAACCAATCACAACACACACTGGCCCAGCTAACCAATCACAGCACATTTCGTATTTCAGAAGGCGGGCCTTCATTTGCTACAGGAACTATTCGAGCCGTTCATGCCAGGTGGATATCGTTATCGAGATTAAAATACGATTAATCGTGCAGCCCTAGTGGCTTGCGTGCTACAAATAATGAATGGACTTGAAAACTTTAAACATCAATTCCAAGCATTAGCCTATACCGTACATAAAACAGCTTGTGAATAGTCACGATTCACGTAACGTTATTTACTTCAGAAAAATCAACAATAGGGCCTAAGTTAAGTTAACCGAGTTGGAGCCCATAACGTTTGGGGGGGCCCGTACACATTTTTGGCATATGGGTCCGGGGCTGACTCACTACGCCACTGGTTAAGCTCAAGTCTTCAAAAAGGGCATAAGTAAACCAATAACCTTCAAAAAGTTCTCAGCCATATCCTCATCTAATCTGAGTCAAAATTTGATTTTGAAAACTTGATTTTCAAAAGTCAACAAAGTCGCAACAGCTGAATGTAACCTTTTGTCTGTCAAATAAATACACAATACACAGTAATATTTACTAGAAGCAGAGGTTCAGGAAGTACATGCATTTCATACGTGCATGCACTATCTTCTCAGTTGTGTAAAAGATTAAGGCAATTATCAAAGTTTACTAAAATATTGTTTAATTTTCCAATAAAAGATAAAAGACATTAAATAAAAGACATTTTACAACATTTGTTAAATTGAATTACCCTTAACAAATTTTAATGCTAATATTGTTGATAGTAAAACTACAAAGTAGCCCAAAATATGTAAGTACAGCAACTAATTACATTAACTCAAATACAGTAATGAGTAATGGAAAAACATAAGTTGCCATGACTGATCATATCATTTTGTACAGTAACAAAGGAAATGCTACAAAAATCATGAGCTCTTGATAAACTGACTGCTGTAATTCAGAGCGTTCATCACTGCGAGTGGAAAATTATTTGACTAAAGATTTGAAGAAGACATCACTTCTTTGAAATAGAAATGTTCTTTTGTAATATCATGACTTTCACAGCAATTCCAAACTTTTCAAAGTTTGATTAAAAAATAAATAAATAAATAAATAAAATAAAATGTTTGTACTTTCAGGGGTTCCTGAGCCAGCAGAGCAACTACCATTGAAATTCGCTCACACCCAACCATTCTGTGTAGATTGTTTCCTGTGAGTTGCTCTGAATTTTACCTCTGTTTTGGACAAAATGTTACCCCAGTGATTATTACCCCAAAAAGGTATATTGTCAGTTTCTATCTATTTTAAAACCATTCTCATTACCCAGAGTGCAGTAACACTTATAGAAACTTTCTTATTTTTGCATGGCTATTGGCCTTCTTGTTGTCAGAATTACAGGTCACTGTCATACGTTCTCAAGCTGTTTTTTTTTTTTTTGGACATTTATGTTGAAATTATTATTTCTTTATTTCCTGTGCTGGCTTTTGTAGTCCTTTGTAGTTTTATTTACAACATCAAATAAAAAAAAATTAGGATGTTTTGTAAAATAAAATCAATAATCTGTGATTAGTTAATTCTCTTTAACCTTTATTTAATTGACAGAAGTGCAAAGATTTCCAATGTTTTCACTGACCAAACTAATTGTATTTTGCAAATATATATATATATATATATATATATATATATA